TCTCTCTCTCTCTCTCTCTCTCTCTCTCTCTCTCTCTCTCTCTCTCTCTCTCTCCTCTCATATCTCCCCTTTTCCCTTTTCCCTTCCATAACCCACTAAATAAATATCCAACCTCACTCTGCATGGCATGCTTATCCATATGTCTGTCTCTAGCCCGCTGCGTGGCTCCCTGTGCATGCCCATCTGTCTTGTCTGTCTTTCCTTGTGGGACTGGCTGCCCCTGGCAAGGTGTCTCACCATGCGGCTCCCTGCTTGGGACTTGCTGCCCCTCATGGCCCACTGCAGCCACTCTGGGAACTGGCCGTCCCTGCCTAGGACTGGCTGCTCTCAGGAACCACTGCCTGCTGCAGCCACTCGGGGACTTGCAGCATTTTTACTTGAACCATTACAGTACCCACATTGGGAGGGTCAGTCTTCTAAAGAAGAGACAGAAGAATTGGAGAGATAGGAGCCTGAGAGAGCTAGGCTGGCTCCATGGGGACAATGGGGGAGGAGCCAGGCAGAGTGGGAGTGAGAACTGGGGATTAGGGAAGTCTAGGAAGGACCTCCACAGCCCAGGATCTGCTGCACTTGCCAGCTCCCTCTCTGTGGAGCTAGTCTGTGATCACTAGGATCTCTTTAAGTTCAGAACCTTCAAGTTCAACCTTCTAAGAATTAGACATTAGGTTTGGAGAGATGGCTCAGTGGTTAAGAGCACTGGGGTTTCATCCAGAGGACCAGGGTTCAGTGCCTAGCACCCACACAGCAGCTCCAGTCCCAGGGGATCCAATGCTCTTGTCTTTCTTTTGTGGGCCTTACAAGTATGGTGCACAGCTGGATGCAGTTGAAACACCCCACAGATAAAAAATTTAAATGAGCTGTCTGGGGCTGGGTATTTAGCTCAGTGGTAGAGTGCTTAACTAGCAAGAGCAAGGCCCTGAGTTACAGCCTCAGCTTTAAAAAAAATGGGGGGGGGGAGGCGGGCTGGAGAGATGGCTCAGAGGTTAAGAGCACTGACTGCTCTTCCAGAGGTCCTGAGTTCAATTCCCAGCAACCACATGGTGGCTCACAGCCATCTGTAATGAGATCTGGTGCCCTCTTCTGGCCTGCATGGACAGAATGTTGTATACATAATGAATAAATAAATCTAAAAAAAAAAATGGGATGTTCATTGATGACAGCCCCTTCCAAACCCTCGACAGAGCCCCTGGGATTCTCCCAGATCATGGCCACTATGAGTGGTGGCACAGAGAAGCTACCAAACTAGACTGCTTCATGGGCAGA